GGTTTGGCTGGTACTCTGCTGACATGCACAAAAAAAGAAAAACAAATTATTATTTTTTTAAACCTTTACATACAAAGAGGGGAAGATACTGAATATTTTGCTATATATTCAATATTCGTAGTAATTTACTACAAATTAAGGGTTGTTTTCTCCATAATTCGACTGCAACACTTATTGTTAAGAGGTAACACTTTAAAATAAGGTTCAATTTGTTAACATTAAATAATGAGTTATGTGTCATGAACCAAAAATGAACCATTTTTACAGCTTTTCTTAATCCTGGTTAATGCTGATTCATACATATACTATTGTTCATGACTCATGATACATTATCAAATGTTTATTTAAACTTTAAACTTATAAATATTAGAGTATGCAGAAATGAACTTTAACATAGATCATGTAAAAATATTATTAATAGTTAGTTAAGATACCTAATGCATTAAATGTACTGTTATAGTTCACCCCAAAAAAAATTTAAATTCTGTCATCGTTTACTCACCACCACGTTCCCAACCGGAACTCTCCATGTATGGAAATATCTGCTTTTATGCTCCACAGAAGAAAGAAAGTTATAAAATGACACAAGATCTGAGTAAATGATGACAGAATTTTCATTTTTGGCTGATCTATCTAATGTTAACAAGCTGAACCATAGTGAAAAGTGTCACGGTAGAGACGCTCTTCATAAATGAAACTACCAAGTGTCCACATCAGAGGGCTCCCTTGAAACATTATTGATAATTATGTATTCCAAAACCCCAGACAGGGTTGTCAAGTAAAGATCAATGGGTAAAATAAACCACAGGTAGCAAAGAGATAGCCCTTGTCATAAAGAAATATAAGTGATACCAATAAAACATATCAGTATGAAAAATGTGATATTAATCATTTGTCTTTTTGGCTATGATTAAAAACTTCTGAGATAATAAAAGACATCTGTATCTTAACCGAGGCAGCAGTCTACAACTGTCCATTCACATGAAAATATCTCCTAAACATTCACTCAAGCCCGACAAAGGTTCACGATTCCCTTGAATACCACAAAGAATGAGCTGAGAGTGTTAGTGTTGCAGACGGGAATGGATGAAGAGCTTATTTCAGTTCCTTCTGAAGTTCTGCAGCTCAGACAGACTCAGTTACCATGGTAACGCAGAGGATGGGTAAAATCCATTGTATTTTGTTCTCTGATAACACTAGAGCCTCGTGGCTATGAAAGGAGTGGTTGTCAAAGTAAAAAAGGATTGTCATGACTCATACGGTGCCGTCTGCATTCATTCAATCGCACTGACTCAGGAAGTTCATTATTACTCAAGAAGCAGCTATCTTTGGTGCTGTGCTGCTCTCCACGGGTTTGATGATGAGAACTACTTGGTCCTGTTGTTATAGAGAAGTGCTGTAAGGTGCTGTGGTGACTGGCCTTCTCTTTTGGTCCTGGACATGCATTTTTAGTCCTATGGCACACAAGAGTATGTATTGGCATGTGTGTGTGATTATATGTTGTGTGTGTCTTTACAGTGTAATGACTGTGCCCTCCTCCTCTAGATTTCGCCCTTCTAATACCCCGTCACGGGCATTCAGAGACCCCGCGCTCGCGCTGCTTGCCATGGTACCATTTGAGGGGCGGAGGTCGAGGTGGGGCTCGTATCTGGGCAAGGCGGGCATGCTGGTGCTGGATGTTGCCCGCGCCCCTGCCTGCGGAATAAGTTTAGCCCCTCCGTCCGCCTCCATCACCAGATCCTCCTCCTCCTCGCTCTCCTCGTCCGGTTCATAGTTCTGGATAATATGGGACGGGGTCATCGCCATCGAACCCAGTGTCGAGTAACCATAAAAACTGGTGTTGCTGTCAGAAGATCGTCCTGAGCTGCCGCCTCCGCTGCTGCGTACCACGTTATTGCGCTGATTGGCCGGTTTGACGGTTATAATGAGGTTGTGGCTGTTAGCGATCATCATGTCCGTTACTTGGTCCAAAGACTTTCTGCTCACCTCGATGCCATTGACTTCGAGCACCTCGTCGTTGACGGCCAGCAGTCCCGTGCTCTCCGCCAGGCCTCCGGGGACCATGCGGGAGATGAAGATGCCCGGGACCTTTTCCAGGCCTTGGGGTGTAACGCGCACGCTGGAACCATCACGGATGTAGAAGCCCAGTGGTTTCTCTTGACCGTGTTTGTAGAGGCGGACACGGCGGTGCGTCTCTGGAAGGATGTCCACGTCGATGATCGAGGATACTGGCCGGAAATCTTTGGGCAGGCTGATGATGATAGGAGGCTTCTTCTTGTTGGCATCCGGTCGAAGGAGGACCGCTGCGAGCGCCGCCGGGGTCTTCTTACGAGTCACAGTGTCCGTGCCGAATGCAGAGTAATCTGCCTCCTCTGCACAACAGGAAGAAGAAAGAAAAAGAGAATGTAAATATGTAACGTTTGTGTTAGACATTGCAACTTAAAGGAATATTGTGTTTAGTTTATTTAGTGATGGGTTGCGATGGTCAAATCATTCAACAACAACCACAAATTAAACAAACAATTTTTTGTATATATTTAATTTGTGCTTGTTCTTAAAATAAATTATAAACAAAGAAAAATAAACACCGGGGGAAAAACTAAACACAAAACAACTAAACAAAACAAAAATAAAATGGGTAATATAGTACAACAACTAAAAGTGTGGGCATTAACACTTTTCAGTAGCTTTGTAAATAAATGCCGTACAATATCAGCATATTTTTGTTAATGTGAACAACAGCTTACTCATTTTTAATTTAAATAATAAATGAAAATAATATAAACAACTTTTTTGTTTGTTTTACTTAAAACAAAACAAAACAAAATGGGTAATATAGGGCAATAACTAAAAGTGTCTAGACGCTTTTCAGTGGCTTGGTCAATGCAATTTATTATCAGCATTATTGTGCTTGTAAACATATATTTTCTGTGCATGTTCATTATTTTTTATTATTTATCACGTTCAAATTATTCTTTGTTTTTTTTTTGCTCTTGTTGGACTATTCCCACAGCTTTGTAAGGAGAGACCTGCAGGGTAGAGAATGCCTGCTTGTTAGTTTCCCTCCGCCCCTCAGCTAATGTGTAAACTACTGTAAACCCAAGCCTCCTTTCAACCTTGCTCTCTTTTTCTCTCAGCTGCCATTTATGAATTCCTCAGAGGCTTAATCACAGCCTGGACTTTCACCTGCAAGACATTCATACTCAAGATCAAAAAGGAGAATAGAGTAGGAAGGGAGAGAGGATATAAATGCATGTGAGTGATGCTCTCTCTGAAATGTCAGAGTTCAAAGCAGTACCATGTGTTTTTCTGAACTCCCATTAACCCGAATGAACAATGGTTAACCTGAGAGATGTAATTATTAACAAAAACCACCATGTTATAAGATTATAACTAACATTTCAATTATGTTATTTACTGATCTTTTGTATCAAGGGTTGTGATGTTTTTATGGATTTTTTTAATGCCATAAACCTGAATTGTATCTCTAAAATGAAAAGCATCTTTTTCCAATGTGTTTGTTTAACCAGGAACATGCGTCTGTGTGATCTAGCATGCAAACAGATTTCACGTCAGCCCAAATATAGTCAAAACACACACACACACACACATGACTGATTGTTGGTCAAAGGGCCCCACAGCCAGTTCCCACCAGAAAACTATCTGGATTGTCCTTGTGTTTTGTTTCAACATGAATATGCAGCCTGTGTTGAAATTTTAAAATAATTTGGCAACTTGCCTTCAGTACCTGCAGACATCATAAAAATGTCTTTCTGACCTAATAGAGCTGAGGTTTATTCACAAACATGCAGCATGCACACACACAAGTCTCAGCTATGCAAGTTTGGCTGGAGCGGTCGAGCATGTATGGAGGTCTGTTTTCATCTCCTCCAGAGTTCTTCTCCTCTCTTCCTTCCTTATCTGCTCCACTCTTCCATATTAAAGCCTAACAATGGCTTCATAGTGAGTGTTGAAGGGCAGCATGGGAAGTCCCTTAGGGCCACTCAAACGGGCACAAACTAGCTTTTCTGTTGGCTCAGAGATCGAGAGGAGAAAAAGTGAGAGGATGCAAAAAGCAGCTTACAATATATGGAAACCGCATCACATTAACGGACACACAAACCTCTATCATCTCACTTCCTGAACGCAGGACAGCTGGCTCTTTGTGAAACCTGACGCTACAGAAACCAGTCCAGTTGTAATGGCTCATTACAAACATGCTGGAGAAGGCCCACACACAAGCATACAGGCCAGGGCTGGGTTTTGACACAAATTTCACGATTTGATTCAATTCTCATTCACAAGCTTGCGATTCAATTCGATTACCAATTTGATTCGATTCGATTCAATATAGATTATTTTGGATATATATCAAGTACAGTACATGTCAAATTTTCTCAAGGGAAAAAAATCTCTCAACTAATGCTGTAAAATATACATGAGACTCAGTTGGTACATTACTATAATATTGGAAGTTAAAATTGACTGATTTGTTAAAATTACACTTAATAAAGTTTTTAAAATAATAAAGTTATAATTACATAATAATATTTCTACTTCAATTTGTTTTTTGTAAATATAAACATAATGGTGGCTGTCATAAAAACTTGATGGATTTATTCAAACATAAATTAAACATTGAAGAACAGTAAAATTGTATAATGAATATGTTATATGGTTCATATATTTAGCAAAATGCCCCTCTCCACAGTTTTTTATTTCTATCTGACTAATGAGTTTATGGTCACAGAATATGTTTTTCTGAGGTAAATGTAACGTTACGTGACTTTGTTTACAAGCCATTATATTGACGTATTTGCACGGCTGAAACACTGATTGAGCGATTACATGAGACAGAATACGGATTGTCAAGTTGTACTCTTTCTTTTAACTTACCTTCGGATGTTTAGTCTTGTTTATTTTGTGCTGAAACCGGTATTAATGTGGAGGAGATGATCGGTTCGCGTGCACCTCGTGCTGCCGCGTCTGTTGAATTGAGGCGCTACAGCGATCAGTCACTCCACATTAAACAGTGCCAAAATGACATTTATTGTTTGAATACTGCAATACAATGGACAGAATTTGAAATCTGAGACTTTGTTTCATATTAAAAGTACCAAATCACAATGCTTATTGCGATATATTGGATGGGAAGTGCCCTTCAACGTTCCGTCCACTAACTGAAAACATGCTAGAATAATCGATTCTTGCTATTTAATAATCAATATCATTCCGTAAAAATGAGAATCGATTAATATCAAGATATCAATATTTTTACCCAGCCTTAATACAGGCCTCTTTACACCCATATCATGCATTGGGCTCCTTACAATCATTAGAGGCAGATCAGGGGATATGAGGAGTTATTTCTGAATTATGGCCTGGAGCAATACAATGCAAATTTTTTTAAATCATGTATTTGTCGAATTAAGCATAATTACTATTATTTAAAATAACACACACACACATAAAATAATAAATAAAAAAAATATTAAGCAGCACATCAGTTTTTAACATTGATAAGAAAAGTTTCTTGCGCAGCAAATCAGCATATTATAATGATTTCTGAAGGATCGTGTGACACTGAAAACTGGAGTAATGATGCTGAAAATTCAGCTTTGCCATCACAGGAATAAATTACATTTTAAAATATATTCAAATAGAAAAGTTATTTTAAAGGGGTCATATGATGCTGCTAAAAAGAACATTATTTTGTGTATTTGTGTAATGAAATGTGTTTATGCGGTTTAAGGTTCAAAAAACTAATTATTTTCCACATACTGTACTTTATTGTTTCTCCTCTATGCCCCACCTTTCTGAAACGCCTCGATTTTTACAAAGATCGGTCTGAAAAGCGAGGTGTGCTCTGATTGGCCAGCTATCCAGTGCATTGTGACTGGCGAATACCTCAAGCGTGTGACGGAAATGTTTCGCCCCTTACCATACTGTGATGCCCTGTCCGGCCGGAGCGATGAGACAAAAACATTAAAACCCATTATAAACGAGGCATTTGTTGCATCCAGTGGGGACATAATTATGGATTATAATGACTTATACTGTCTTTTTACGCATTGCATCGCATGGCGTAAACATAAAACCATGTCTGCATTTGTGATTGGAGAAATGACAAACAACAAGCGCTACTCTACACTGCTCAAAACTCGCGTTTGAATCGTCAGTGGCAAATTCTTTAAATATAAAAAAACGTACTTACAGTCTGTGAGTCAGAACAGCCGGCATTGTAGTCTACTCTACCAGGATCAGGAAACAGTCCTCCATAAAATGTGCTGCACACATCTGAATATTTGGGTTGAACTGTTCTGGAACAGTGTTGTAAATACAACTTAACCACTGATTTCTAGTCGTGTCCTCTTTTGGAAGACCAAACAAAGTAGTTTCGCTTTCACAACGAAATACAGCATCACACACGGCGGCCTAGAGTGAGCGGAGGCCAGCGGATTCGACGAAGGAGCTTCCGGCGAGCTTGCGGCAACCACATGTGACGACCCCGGGCTGGACTCCGTTTCATTTACGGTGAAAGTCGATCCGGCGATCGACAGCGCGAAGTTGATGTATTTCCTCAGCGACCAGCACTGATCAGCTCCAGGCATGACGAAGCGGATATCGTCCTCTTTTGGAAAGCCAAGTAAAGTAGTTTCGCTTTCACAACGAAACACAGCGCCTTACATTACATATCTATTTTATGCACCAAGAGCTTGTAACACTTCAAAGAGAAAGGAGAAATTTTAATCGCATCATACGACCCCTTTAAATTGTAATAATATTTCACAATATTACAATTTTTACTGTATTTCTGATAAAAAATGTAGCCTTGATGAGCATAAGAGACTTCTTTCAAAAACATTTGGGAAAAAAAAATTCAGTAAAAAAATCTTAGACACCAAACTCCCTCTCTTTCTTTCTCTCTATATATATACTGTACATACACATATAATGTAATATTCTTTAATATGAGATTTCAGTTTGGTTTGGCAGTAAAATAGTGTGGATTTCTCTGTTGTGTGTTAATATGGCAGCATTAATGTGACACTGGCTTTATCTGATACTGTGGTCACCATTGACCGTGGCAGTGGAAGCACCTCACTTCCTGTCAAAGCAAAGGACAAGGACACCAGGATGCAGTCTGTGTGATCAGCACACCAGTGAGAGTCGTGTATGTGTGTGTGCGTGTGTGTGTGTGAGCTTAGTGAAATGCTGTCCCACCTTTGCTTAGATGATCAGTATCCCATTACACAGGGTCTTATAGTCTGCCCAAGGTCAGGTGACCTGTTTGTGTATTCTTAACTCTTCTGTGTTTTCAAGTAACTGATTAATGCCGACACTAAAATTAAAAATACTATTTTGTCTAAAT